AAATCACATTTATGTAAAACCGAAATATGAGTATAAGGGTATTCCAACCTATGAGTGAGTATTGACTATGGGTACACCCGTTACTTACAAGTATTTTACTATTTTGAATAAATATCATATCCAAACGGTAGAAAAAATGGGTAAGTAATGAGTAAAAAAATAGTATACTTATAAATATTAAGTCAAGTAACAAATATAGAACTCCAGCACTCTTTGCTCAACTTGTTTAATCGACTTATTTAGCTTATTTATTATCTATACTCATATAATTAAAATTTTATATGTAATTATTATATTTAATATTAATATAATAATAATTTTCAAAAAAATAAATAAAAATCTATAAAAAAAATATAAATTAAAGTTAAATAAAGCCTATAAACCAAACAAATCGCAAATACAGTAATAGCAATTTTTTTAAATAATAAACCTTAAATCATGCATATAACACACGTAATAATAGCATCTCATATAAAGATTTTTTCCTTTTTTAAATCAAGTACATAAATATGTATTCATAAGTAACCCAGTACTTATTAGGTTAAACACCAAGTATACATCTTTCAGTATTTAAATAAGTACCAAGTTTGAAAAGCCGCACTAAAAAATTTTTAAGTCAAGTACCAAATATAACTCATACTGGATCTGTGCTTGAACATACTCACCTCTAACTTATTGGCTGTTAATTTTTCTATATTTGGTAAGAAATTAATATAAAGAGAGTTTGTAGAAAAATTATCAAATGAATCTTATATGGAAAAAGTTAGGGGAAAACTTTTTTCTTTTAAAAAGTGTGGGAAGAAAGGTTCATAGGTTGAGCATTATATTAAAAAAAATATTAGTTAAAAATGCCATTTTACGATCTTCTCTTTGTTGTAACATTAATATGTAAAATTATGTAAATAATATTGTAAATAATATTGTTTGGTTAAATACCAACTTTCCCAAGAATTTTTTTTTAGAAAAGTAATTGGTTAAAGTATTGCATAAAATGTTAAAAAGTATAATCCGAAAAGTTTTATAATGAAATTTTATTAAAATTTTATTAAATTTTTAATTTTGTTGTGTTTATAAGGATTTGAGGGAAAGTAAAAGAAAAGTTGACAGGAAAAATTATTAAAAGGATCTTATATAAAAACAGTTATAGGAAACTTTTTTCTCAAAAAATGGTAACAAAAAAATTTACGCATTAAAAATTATGTAAAAAAATAAAAACTAAAATACTATTTCTTTCTTTGTTCATTATATTTTTAAAGTGTATGAATATAAAAATATTTTTATAAAATCTTAAAAGACACATTTGAAAAAATATATATACCAAACACCTCTTTAAACAATTTTGCTAACCAAAAGCCAAAAAAAAAAAAAAAAAAAAAAAAAAGAATCCGTTGGTTTTTTTTTTTAAAGTAAATTCTTAATATCCAAAAATCATATTGAATCTTAATTAATTTAGATTCGAAACAAGTCATACTCTATAAAAATAAAACCCTTTCGATACTTATTTTTCTATTTATATGATTTGAATTTGAGATTTTATTTTTTTTTAAAAAAACTAAACTCATTTTATTCAAATAAACAGATATATCGATAAAGAAGTTATTAGTGGTGGTGGTGATGTTATCTCTTTAAAAAATAGGATTTTTCTTAATTTAAGTATGCATGATTTGTTTTTATGGTATATTTTTAGTAATTATTAAATATAATTATATTTTATTTTTGAATAGATTACATTAGGGGTTAGGGGATTCAACCCCCTAGTCTTTGCGTTGAGAGATGCACTTTTAATATGAGTTAAAGTCATTATATTATGAAATTCAAGTATGATTAAATATAATAATATTAAATTATTATTAAAATT